GAATTTATTTAAGAAACCCTGAGGGAGCTTCCTCACATACTGTTCTCCATAAGCACAAGGGTTCACTCAATGAGTTCAACAGTACTTGCCTCCATAGAATAACATTTCTGAAAACTTCAGCTGAAGAAAAGACACACTATTTAGAAACACCACCATGGAGGCGTCTCATTTTTTGTAGCAACCAGAAAATATCGTAGACAATTTCTCCTTTAAAAGAAAATCTTATAGTACAATATATATAACACTCCCATACCCGCAAACATACAACAGGCTAGCTAATTCTGACAATGGGTTGAAACCAACAGTCAAGAAGCAGCTTTTCTATATAATCAAATGCTCTCTTTGCAAATGTTTATAATGTGATTCATTCCAAATAGAATGCATAGATATGTAGAGTCCAATCAAGCCAAAGACATGTGCATCTTCTCAAATCCTGTGACCGCTAATGTATGAGGAAAAACAGATTCTCAAAGGGTGTTGGATTATGAACCTCTGGGGTCGGGGAGCAGGCACCGGGGTGAGGGGAGGTTTACAGCATTTTTAGTTGATCAGACTTGCCCAGGCAAAACAGGCAGGAGGGCTGTCAATGTTCATTTATGATTTGCCTGAGAGAAAAGTCCAGGACAGCTAAACCTGTGTGTCTAGCCAACCGTCAGCACCATTTGCCAATTAAAGCAGCACTGTGCCAGTTGACAAATTCTTGCCAAGTGGTGACTTCCCATATGGCGTGGTAATAGACTATCTGTAATCTGGGTGTGGCTATAGAAATAAATTTTTATCCATTATGCTCAATTTCTAGCCTTTCAAGATGGAATTTTTTTCTGGGTGGGAAGATAAGCATTTAATATGATCAATATAACCACCGTACTCATCCAATTAAGATTTAAGTCAAACATTTATGATGATAATGACGTATCTTTTAATAAGTGGGGTATTTATTTCTTGCCCAACTCTAACTGCTAAGAATGGATTTGTTTTATTCATTTAGTTGTTCAAATTCATTTATTATTTTAGGGAGGTGTAGAATCAGAACATTTGAGAGTGCTCAAGTTAAAACACATGTTTCAGATATTTTCCTCTCTAAATTCAGTGGAATTATGCATTCTATATTAGATATCTATTGCACAAGAAGACTGGATGTGGAACAGAATAAAGGGAATAACAAATCATTATATTAAACTATTGTCTAGCAAAAGATACATGGAAAAGTGCTTCAGTTTGTCTGGACTGAACCCACAGGCAGTATTAACCAAATGTAAGACGTAAGTATTTTGGTATTCTTTCCATCTCAGTATCACTATTATTCAAATAAGCCTACATTTATCTTCCAAACCCACAGATCAAAAACTAGAGGAAAGCAAAAGGAAAAAAAGAATTCCTCACAATGAAAAAAAAAATCCATTCAAATCACAAAGTATTCTCATGTGCAGTTTTTCTTTGGTATTCTTTAATGCCAAATGCATTCCAAAGTAATGAAAAGCTCTTACTAACATGAGTTGCCTCTCCAACACCATCTAATGTTTACATATTAAGATGGACAACTTCATCTATTTAGTGCAAAAATTTACAGACGCTCATCCAGTAATATGTAAGCCTAAACTGTGATTAAGAAATAATAATGTTGAAAAAAATGTCATTGAGTTACAATAAACTGCTTTGAATTTAGCATAATAAAACAATAATGGAAAATGCATTACAGTTGTTCACTTGATAGACAATGTTTTGTGAGGCCTTTTGGTACAGTGACAGGAAGGCACTTGTCATGAAGCTTTCAGATAACTGAGGGGGGAAAAAAGAATTTCCTCATATGCAGCTATGGCTCTCTTCCAGAAAAACTGAGAACAAATTACTCATACAAGGCAGTTAATTGTCTAAGGCAAACCTTACATTTCTTTAGACCAAAGTAATAATTAGAAAAAGTTTACATGAAGTTTACAAATCATAACACTGTAGAACTATTGCAAAACCAAAATAAATAATTTCATTCATTGAACGTTTCAGAATTATCTGCACTATCTTAAATGTATCCAGTTATTCTTTAAGACAAACGTCTGTAGCAGAATGTCTTTGCTTAAGAAATATATATTTGGTTAAAGCTTTAGTATGAGCAAATGGTTGCTAAATATTCTAAATCAGACACAGTAGGACAGCTTGCCAACACATAGTCAATATATATGTATATATATATATTAAAAAACATAAATGAATGTAAAATGCAGCAGATAAGGAAGATGCTTAAGATAAGAGTACAATGCTGCATCCCAAAAGCTCCAGGTTTTTTTTAGATATTGCCAAAAAACAGACAAAGAAGCAGTGTGGTCGTCTTGTTGTCATTCCTTGTGATCAATCCATAGGAAATGAAAGAGAACTAAGAACTTTATGACTACTTTTCATGTTTGCGTATAGTTTACAAGAGCTTGTAAGAACATTTGATTAAGTAGTTGGATCAGCAAGAATTGCAACTCTGTATTTAACAACAATTCTGGAGTGATATTTTTCATCCTCTGCAGTATTTCACTGGCATAAATAACATGAATATTCCTGGTTCAAAAATAATACTAAGCCATTAGGTGGTTGGTTGGGTGGTTGGCTTAGTGAGATATTCAAACCCATCTCTACAGAGAAACAGTAGTTATAAGTCAGAAAGAATAAATTTCACACCAAACCTAGGTAAAAATAAGTGGACACAAGGATTTACTACTGTATATAAACCAGGGATGCCAATGTCCTTACAGAAGGCGCATTGTTGCTAAATAAATTATGGGTATGTGGCCATGGAGTCAAATGAATTAAGCTCAACTCAAAGGACACTTTACTTTTTATCCAAAAATATTATCACATTTGTCAGGAATTTATTTCCTAGAGCTGGTGTTTTAGAGCTTAAAAGCCAAAGCCATGTTGCATAACATCCTTAAAACTCTCTACCGATTAGGCAGAGCAAGACAAACAATTTATATGAAATGATTGTATTCTCGTGGAAGAACAATAAACCAGCAAAGAAATTCAAATAGAAAGTTTCTCTGGTATTTTATACTTGGCACAAAAATAACTCAAAAAGTTGTGGTCTGATATCCAGGTATCTGGGCAAATATTTGAGGATTAGTGGTGAAAAAGATCATGAAGTGTATTCAAGGACTGGCATTAAAGGATAATTTGACGTGACATTGAAAACTGATTCATATAATAAAATGTTTTACATAACTTTGAGGAGTTAGATTAGTTGTGACTAGAAAATTATTTTTGTACTTATCTCTACTACTGTCCAATTCAGCTGCTTTTCATCATTTCCTTTATTTCACTTCTCTGAATCAAGCTTAGGAAAATATGGACAAAAAGTTTCCATCATAACTCCTTAAATGTAGCCATGCTTTCTAGTATTGCGCTCATACGCTTATTGCAAATGTACCCTTATCAGCCCTACTTTCTATGCCCATTTATAAAGTTGAACATTGGGACCAATCCTCAAGAAACCAAAATCAAATTTTTAGCTGGCAATTATAATAGTTTTATCAGTTTTTATCAGTTCTTTAAGAACCTTATTTGATGGAATGTGAATAAGTCTATGTATGCGTGAAAATTATGAATTTCCAAACAATTTGTACTACGTGGGTTATGTAGCTTGATCTACAATTTTAATTTTGCAAGGGATTAGGGGAAAAAAAACCTTACAACATATTTTGGGCAGAAGAGTAAAAAATACGTTGTGGCTTCTTTTGGCAACAAAAAATTTAAAGCAGGGCTGACAAACTCGTGGCTCACAGGTCGGATATATCACATGCTGGCCAAGCCCTGTCCAGTTTAGTAAAGGAGGAAAAGTCCCGATACATCACATGATGCTGCCGTGACTTGGAGAAATAACCTGATTTAGAGAAATAACATTTAAATATAGAATACACTATGATAATCCTCAGTAGGAAAAAAATTACAGTTTGGAGGGAAAAACCTTATTGTACCACAAATAAAAAGAGGCTCGGAGAGTTTTGGATAATTTGATAGCTGCTAGAATAAACCAATAAGTCCTACTTGCTTTAACCAATTAAATTACTCTTCATCATACATTTTTATGCTTAGTCAATTAAATTACTTAGTATCTCACATTCCCTATAAATATAAATATGCCATCTTGTGATTTTTACCATGAGTTGAATGATTTTATAGATCTGCAAAAATTCCACTGTAAAACCATAATAGCAGTTTCCAAATCAAATTGAGATGATTGATTTACTTTAAAAAAAGTTTGTTATTTGTATGGATGGGAAAGAATCTAAAATAAATCCGTTTCAAATTTGTACACTGTAGAGTGAAATACTGCATAGAATAGAATGCACACTCCAGTTTAAAGTTAAATATTTTAGCTTTAACATTCATTTCAGAGTTTCAAATGTAGATTCAGCTCTCTTCTGTAGATGTTGTTTGGCTTTAAAAATGCTTAATTGTAGACTGCATTGTGTTTTGAGTTTACATACTTTCTAGTCCAATGAAAATATGGCTTTGGTACATCTAAAAATAGAGCAAAGATATGACAATGCTACAACTAAAAAACTACTTTACATTTTCACTAGAAGCTGTGCCCACACCAGATTATTTTCGTCCATTTTCCATTGCAGCAGCCTCCTTGTTGCACTTTGAGGGCTTTTAATTAAAAAAAAATGTGAATCTGTGCAGAGCAATGATCATGCTTCTTTTGGAAAAAAAAGAATAAAAATAATATTGCATATGTAGATCTGTTCCCTTTCATTTAAGGGAGGGAGGTTCAATGCTTGAGTATTGGAAGTTTTAAATTTTATTTCTGGCTATGCATTGTGACTGTTTGAGAAACCCAATTCATTATTTTTTTGTTGCGTTGGCAATTGTAAAATTCATCCAGCGTCCATAACATGTATTCATGTACACAACCATACTTTAGTTCAATAAAAGTTTCTGGATCTTTTCCCCCCAGTTACCATTTCTAGTCTATGTACACATCCTTAGACACTTCAATAATCTATGTCAGGCACTTGCAAGGTTACATGAGACCTGCATGATCTTTGGACAATAGGAAGAGAGTTTTCTTTGATGTTTACAATGATAGGTGCTGAGTGGCTTACAAAGAATTGTCAGCTGGATGCCAGTGCATTGTTCCTGGTGTTGAACTGATGCCTTGAGATGATCACTTGAGGAAACAAAAAGGCAAGCAGGACAAGAGAAGAATCTTGTCAGATACAGATGGATTCTGCAAAAGTTGTCTCATAAATCTCATCTTCTATGACTGACTTCTGGCAGGGAGTCCAGAAAACTCTTTCCTGATAATTTCATTAACTGGGAAGGGAAAGAGAGAGAAAAAGAAACACAAAAGCAGAAACGTTACTGTGCAGAAAATGCAAAAGAATCTAATATAAAGCCACCTGTGTGGTTGCTGTTGAAAAGCTGGCATTCAATAATGGGTTAAGACTATGACAATCTGGCAGTGACAAGTCTCAACTGCTGGAATGCAGCCATGAAGCCTGCTAGATGGTCTTCAGTCCATCATTATTGTTCAGCATCAAATAGCTTGCAAACTGTAAAGAAGATGGAAAGAAAAGGGTAAAAAAAAAAAATTTCCTGGATTCCTGGAAGAAATGGGAGTTTTCATTTCTGGTTTATTTAAAGTAATGTAATATAATAATGCAACACTTCACTGACTTTTACAAATACAGGATCAACACAGATATAATGAACTTTGATTACTGAATCCTGTCCAGATTGCAGAGGGAACACTCTTGCAAGCTCATTCTCATTTTTCATATTTTGTACCAACTCTGGATCATTCAAATATTCATATTCTGCAGTGCCAGTCAGATTGACTTGGTAAACGATGATCCTGTTAACTGCATAGCTCAGTTAGGGGAGAAGAGTTCCAGGCAGTGAATAAAATACCCTCAATACATTGATACTCTTCACTGTTGAATGAACATATTGGTGATTTCTCACAGTAAAACTCTGCTTGCTAGTGTATAGTCGACGTGTCTGTATGTTGCTCAGAATTTACTTCACTAAGCTGATAGTAACCCGCAAAACTCCATGAAGCAATTCCTGGCAATGAGTCTTCACAACAAGTCTATGAGGTTGCAAATCTTTGGAAGTGACTAAACACCCCCCCCTCCTTTTTTTTTCTTATATATTGAAGACCAAGCACCATATTGTGCAATCACCTATAGAATACGGTATTGCTACTATTGAAGTCCA